CATAACGGCACTTTTCAAAGCCTTCATAATGTTTACTGCCAGCTCGTCCTGTGTCTGTTGGAGACGCATTAGCGATAGCCATGAGTCACCCAGTCTGCTCAGTACAATCACGCCCCGCTGATCACGCCTCTTTCCGATTTTTCGCAACCCTATTTTTCAGTCACGCACTTTGGTTTATGGTCAGCAGGTCTCTTCTGCATTTCTAATTCTTTGAAATGTATTTATAGCCAGGAATTCTGTCAGAAGTCAATTCAAAATAAGCTGACAGCATAAATTTGGGGCGCAGTTTGGCTTGCTAGTACACCAAATAGTACCCAGCGAGTTTTCAAAGGCCACCCTGTGAAAACTTGTAAATTCCTGTTACTAAAAGGGTTGACTTGTACTATTTTGCAGCTCCACAGGAGCTTACAGGTCTTGTCAAAGTTAGACCTGTACTTAACTTGAACTAACAAAAAAACCTAGCAAAAATGCAAGAGCCCCTCCTCCCCCCACCAAGCCAAACAGCTCCCAAACCCGGTTTTATTGCTCTGGTTTCTACTTTTAACCTTTTTTTCTATATTTTTGTGCAATTGATTTTTCAGTATTTTTTCATTTTGCTTTATTTTGAACGTACCGTGTTGCTCTCTAAAAACCTCGAAGGACCCAAAAATCTTCAAAACAGCTTATCTCGCCGTGAAGATCCTTTCGAGGGGGGGGGGTGTCCTTCGGAAAAATTTTGAAGTTTCACGCGATCAAATTAGATACGGTGATGCATCGGAAGAGCACAATACTTGCATCCTATTTTCGATATTATTGCATACATGTATTCGGGTGCACTTCTGCTTAGTGGGGGCATTTTGATGGATCCAACCGTCCCCTGCCGATGCCTCCTGTAGAAACTGGTAAACTCTGACGCTGATCACGTCGGAATTGACAGGTTTCCACAGGTCTCACAGGGTGAGTCGAGATGTGTGGATTAACAGGAATTATTGAAAGAAACAAGCGATTCAGAAAAATGCCCCTCCCAAGCCGAACAGCGCCCATTTTTCGTTTAGACTAGTATTGTTTTTCTTACTATATTTTCAGTATTGTTTGAAAACATCCTACATCTGATTTCCTGCAAGTCCACCCTTTGGAAAGGCGCCTTCCTCTGTTTGTGCTCATTGTTATTGTTTCGCGTTCGTCATCTCGCTCAGTCATCGATTTCTCCTCTCTACTCCCAGTGCCTACTGCCGGGTTTCATTACTTTCTCTCTGAAAAACATAGCACTTATTCAGACCCTATCAGCACCCGTTGACCTGTTGTTGATCGTGAGGAGGAACCAGTTCTGCCCAGACCGCAACACCGTTGACGAATGTGGTTCCTATTTTTCATCTTGCCCTCGATTCTAAAAGACAAGTTGTTTTCCTCTAGACCCTTTGAAATCGATATTTTTGAGTATTTTTCTCAGCCTGCCCGAATAACGTTGCGCATTGTAATGAGTAAGGTCCACATCAAGAGCTGTTAAAGCTTCTGTTAACGTCACTGAGCTCATTACTCTTCAGGAACTCTGGTAAGTAATAAGGATCCCCAGCGAGGGGTTCATTTGGCCCTTTGCCCGGTTCTTCATTTTAGGTGCATGTATTTCTTTCCGCCCCTCCCTCACTCAATGGCGGTTTTTGGAGGGAAAACTGGAGAACTGTGGGAGGACAACTTCGGAGCATTCCGAAAAGGGGTAGCACGAGGAGAATTCAGTAGGATCGTAAGTACCTTGAGGGAAGGGGAGATCGTACCAGAAGGGGTTTCTCGCAACATTTTGGGAAGTTCCTCCCCAACAGAAGGATCTGCCCAGTTGGTCATCAGTGAGGGAGGTGTTTTTGTATCCCCAGGTATAACCGTTGTCCCAGAAAGTCGACTGATGTTCTACCACCCTCTGGGCTCTACAGATTCGCACCAGATTCGTGAAGTATGTGAAGTATTATGAATAGACAAGCCAGTCCAACGGATAGTCCACCACTATGTTTATACTCCAGCTCCTCATTCAGATGGTACTGTGAACTTGAGTAAATAGGAGAGCTGGCGCATTGCCAAGGAGAGACAGAAAAAAATTCCGTTGCAGCCTGTCTTATTTTTCATCCTTCAAGGTCCGTGGTTGGATTTTTCGTCTGTTCTGACTTTATGAAAGAGTCCTTGGTTCAAAGTAACTCATCAGTAGCCGCTTTCTAGTGCCCGTGTTAACTTTTGGGGCACTAAATTCTATGAGGAAAACTGGAATTACCCTTATAGCGGTGAGATTGGAGTTTTTTTGAACACCTACCTAGAAGCTCCTTCTTCCTTCAAGGTTAAGCCATTGTCCTAGTATCTGTACTGTAATTCCAGTTTTGCACTAATAAAGTGTTAAATGCTCTTCTCTGCAAGATTCATGGAAGAACTACTGCCTCCTTAGGGAGTAGGCCCAATTCTGCACAAAAGCATTTTGAATGCCCATTTTCTCCAAGGATATTAGCGCCAAATTTTTTTGCCTCACTTAATTTTTATTCTAGTAGGAATTGAATGTCTTTTGAATGAATTAGAATGTAATTTGCTCCATGCGAAGGTGGTCTTCCGTCCCCTCGTTATTGATTCCCGACCCTTTGCGTTCACCATATTCCCTATCCAATTACATTTTCCCTGATGTCTGTGACAACAACCGTTAACGTTCATGTTGCCATGGTTTACTAGTTCAACTGTGCAGTTATGCCGATCACAGCGCGGGTTTGTCATGCGCTCAACGATTCTCGTCTGGCTTTTTTTAAAAATATTCTTGAATATTAAAATTATCTGGTCATTTACTTCTACTGAGACCAGCGCTACCACCAGGAATCCAGACGTGGCATGTCATGTTTAGTTTGAAAACTTGCTGAGAGGAGTTCGTGTTATTACCAAATGTCCCCCTGCCGCAACTGGAAAACAAGGAAATGGGTGAAGTCGGAAAAGCTTGACCATCAGGCTGTATGACATCCCATGAGATCTAGGATTTAGACAGCTCTGGTCCAACGGTACACTCGAAATCCCTGAGATGGGGTAGGCGTGGTTGCACACTTCAACTATCTGAGGCTGTGGCTGCCCTTCTGGAGAAATATTTCCATTTTGACACAATCGTGATCATGTCTGTCCAACACTGAACAAAATGACAGTTGTCTCAAACTGAAATATCCCACGAGTAACCCATTCTATGCTATGTTCAAATGCCACGCCTAGTCCTTCCCAGGGATACGGAGGTAATCACAACATCGCATGGCATGCCAGCCTTGTTGGTCGTTGATCGCTTAGCAAACATTGTTAACCCTGCGGCGTTCATCACAAGCGTTTCGAAACGGCTGGTAGCAGCGCCAGTGACGTCATATGGCTTTCATAATCCGTGTTCTCAAGAGGTATTTCGTAAAATGTTGAGCATTAGTCAGTATCGGATTACTGACGTCGCCTAGTGCTATTTAACTAATGTAATTCAGAAATCATTCGTTGGTCCCCAGAACCTCTCTTTCAGCATTATTCTTTATTGTAATTTTTCAACTCTTAAAGGAGCTATTGATAGTTCCTTTTTCATGATCCATGTAACATATTATTCAGATTACTTTAGTCAAAGAAATTGTATCCTTCTGTATACCAGCTTGCTCATGTTCCCTTTTCTAAGGGTTGGGGACGACTGCAAAGGGCATGTTCACCTCCAAGAGAGCCATTGACCAGTGGGAGAACCCCTAGAAGGTGGTGCAAGGTTTTATCTATAATGGAGAGCTCGTCAAGTAGGACGCTGTTCGGCTTAGAGGCATTTTAGGAGGCATTTTGCGCGTTTGAGTTTCTTTGTAGATCCTTTAAATTGCACGTCTCACCTTTGTAAGACCAGTATACTTTGGAAGCTTGTTCTGTTGTAGAGCTTACAGAACAACAGGTCCACTGGAGGCATCGGAATTGATCGGTGGGGACTAGTGAAAAGCCCCCTCCCCTCTAAACCCTACGCTCCAAGTGGTTCTGAGAGGCTAATCTGTGACCGCAAGTTGATCATGTTGCCATTCCTATATTTATTAAAAAAATTACCGTTTTCTTGGTCAGTCTTTCCACTAGCCCCCGTCTGAGAAGGCAGAAGGTGGCCTCGGTGGTGTAATGGCTATCACACCTGGCTGGAAGCATAAGGTTCTGGTTCAGTTCTGTTTGGGGAAAGCGATTTGTCCACAACTCATCATGCTTGGATTGTTTGGGGAACCTTGTGGGAAAAGCCCACTGCGAAGACTCCCGTGAAGAGGTCTTTACATTTCTATTGATCTCCTCTTGTAATGACTTCCTGTTCGGACCGGGGGTGCCATAACGACAGACGATCTTCTTTCAAAATTCAAGGCTGAACTTTTCAATTCCGAATTTCGAAAAACTTAGTCTTTTGTTCCTTCAAATGTTCTTTGTGGTTTTTCCTCATATGCTGCCTAACTCTCTGACGTCGTCATGCCAACGTCCTTTCCTTGACAATACGGCCCGAGGTCTCGTGCCGAATGAATAAACACACCTGCAATTTTCTTCTGAGCTTTCGCCTGCGCTCCGGCATTTCCACCTGTCAATGCCTTGTACGTGCGACTCGGCCGTAAGCGATATCGGTGGGTGTAACAATCCTTGTTTCTCTAGAAAGTTAGTTTTTTTCGATTGTTTTCATTAT